GCAAACTTGGTCCCGATGCAAAACTCCCGATCTGTCCTACTGAGGGCGTCAAGCAACGAGATCTACCGGCAGAAAGACCCGCAGCGACCACCTCACAGGATGCCGAGGACAGGGTGGAGATATACTACCATGACAGCGGCGATCTCTCAGCGGAAGATCTGGAAGGGAACTTGGCCGTCCTCCCCGAGATCCCGATCTCGACGACAGCGAAGGTCAGCATCGAAGATCTGCAGGTGGGAGACTCTGGATCGGCCACACCGGAGGAGATCGAGAGACTCCGGCAAATAATCTGGAAGAAACGACACCTACTGATCGGAAAAGGGAACGCCTTACCCCCGGCGGCCAAGGGTGTCGTATGCGATATCGATGTTGGAAATGCGTAACCTATCGCACTGCGAACCCGGAAGTACCCACGCGATTTCGGGAAAAAGTCGCAGGCCTGATCAAAGGCCTCCTGGCCGCCGAGATCATCCGACCCTCGACATCACCATGGGCCTCACCGATCGTGATTGTTCGTAAGAGTAACGGTGTGGATATCAGGTTGTAGCATTGATTACAAGATGGTAAACAGCCTCACGAGGCTGATGGTCTACCCTATGCCCCTGATCAGTGATCTGCTAGAAGATCTGGATAAAGCGCTATGGTACTGCTCGTTAGACATGGCCAGCGGGTTCTGGGTCGTGCCCATGACGGATCGGGCTCGCGAGATCTCAGCATTCATTACTCCGTTTGGACTATTCGAATGGAGCCGCATGCCTTTTGGTCTTACGAATGCCCCACAGATTTATCAGCGCCTCGTAGACAACGCGCTGTATGGATTTTTGAAGATCTCTCGATCCGGTGACGCTGGGGCCACAACGGATGTGCTCCAGACCGGGATCGCGGATGATCCTGATCGCGAGTCGGTGCTGGGTCGGAGATCATACATCGACGACATCATGATCGCAGCGGAATCGTGGGACCAAATGTGCCGAAGAGTGGAGAATCTGTTGGAGGCTTGTGACAAGTGGAATCTGACGATCAGTGTAGCCAAGAGGTTTTGGGGCATGGATAAGGTAGGATATCTGGGACACGGAGTGTCGATCGGAGGTTTGGGGGCAAGCCTGAAAGATCTGAAATCGCTGACCGATCTGCCATTCCCCGGATCACTGCGATCTATGCAGTCGTTCCTGGGCAGTCTGAATTATTACAGCCGATTCATCGAAGATTACGCTATCTATGCCTCGATACTCTACGAATTACGGGAAGTTGAGTTGGAGAACTGGAGAAACGATCGGATCTGAGGGAGATCTTGGACCGGAATGACCCGATCCCTCGAGATCACGACCCAACGGAACTGAAGTTGACGGGATCAGTGGACGAGAGGTAGATCAGGGCACACAGGGCCTTCATCGCCCTGAAAACCAAGATCGCGACGACCCCAGTGCTCCGCCATTTCGACGAGACGAGAACGCCGGTAGTTATCGTATATGCCAGCGATTGGGCGATATCCGCTTGGTTGACGCAAGAACACGACGGGATCTACCACCCGGTAGCGTTCGCCAGTCGCACCTTGAAGACGAACGAGTTGAATTACAATGTGACGGAGAAGGAGGTGCTGGCGTTGCTGAGGATCCTAGATCTCTATTACAATTTGCTCGTAGGACGTGAGATCCGGGTCCTGACGAGGCACTCTACGCTGGCCTGGCTGTTCAAGTCGACGGGGTTACAGGGTCGCCTGGGACAATGGTCTGCCCTCCTGGCCCCATGGACACTCGAGATCACGAAGTGCACAAAGGGTGAG